CATTTCTTATTATTACCAATGTTGAAAACAGTTGTGCTGCTTAATACTTTTGAAGAAACTGTGATGCATAGTTTAAAAAAGTGAACGAAGGTATAAGAAATTGATTTTTTTAAAGTAAAAGTCTTCACTATCAAAATTGTGTGTGCCCTTGCTAATTTTAATTTTGGGGGGAAAAAAAAAAAAAAAAAAAAAAAATCTTGTTAATTGTCTCATGACACAAAACCAACAAATGATCTGTGATCTCGCCTCTTGTTTCCTGTTAACAGGTCTGATCACAGGCATGGCAACAGCTCAGTCAGTGTTCACTGTGGTTGTGAGCATTCTTTTCATCACAGAGCTGATTCTGGCCGAGAAAGACTACTACGAGATCCTGGGTGTACCCAAAGATGCATCTGACCGGCAGATCAAAAAAGCTTTCCATAAATTAGCCATGAGGTATCACCCTGATAAAAACAAAAGCCCTGACGCAGAGGCAAAGTTCAGAGAGATCGCTGAGGGTGAGTCAGCATACCTATTCAAAACGACACGGGACACACCTTTCTCACATGTTATGTGTTGATCAGTTGTTAAAGCTATATATTTTTCATTCCCAGCATATGAAACATTATCAGATGACAATCGGAGAAATGAGTACGATCAGATGAGGAGCAGTCCGTTCTCCAGAGAGAGTCCAAGAGGAGGCGGTGACCACTTCCGTCAACATTTTAGCTTCAACTTCGATGATATATTCAGAGACTCTGACATGTTTGGAAACAATCCTCATTTGCATAATAAAAGACATTTCGAGAGCCACTTTCAGGCCCACGAAGAAGCACGTAACGGGCACAGGAGGCACTTCCAGCACTCTTTTGGTGGTGGCATATTTGATGATATGTTTGAGGATATGGAGAGGATGTTCTCGTTTAATGGACACCAGACTCGGACTAAGAGCAGGTTTCACGGTTCCAGCAGGCAGCACTGTAGGACTGTCACACAGCGAAGGGGCAATATGGTTACAACACACACAGACTGCTCTTGAGTTAATGTGCACATGGGAATGTCTTTTGGTTGTGTTGACTGAAACTGTAATTAATTCTGTTGTGCTTTTTTGTGTTTTGGATCAGTTCTGATGACCTCTATAAAATCGTCTGCAAGAATCACACATTTTTTGGCATAACATCCTCAGTTTAGGGATCCTAAGTCTGACTTTATACAAAATTCACCATCCACAACATCTTAATAATGTTATCAACAGTTAACATTAACACATATTCACTGTGAACACGATGACCTCATATGGCAAAAAAAACAAAACAATTTTCAGATATATTTTTAATATATTTCAAAATATATAAAAATGGCCAAAATGTAGATGTTAAAATATTTACATAAACATATTTTTCATGTTTTAGTTAGTTATTTCATCATATATTTTTGACCATTTTATATATTTTGAGTCTAAACTTATTTACTTATATTGTCCAAAAAAAAATAAACATTTTTCATTTACTCAAAATGCATTTTAAAATTAGAAATGTATTTTCTTGCCCCTTGAAGTACATTTTGTACAACAGTTTGGCATTTTAAGGTTTGAATTAATAAAAAAAATATATACTTCCTTAGGCCTGTAAACATATACAGTATTTAGCATATATTTAAAATATATCTGAAATATATTTTGGCCAGAAAATATAGGGCGGTTGAAATAGCACTTTAATTGTTGATTATTTATAAACTCTTATTAAGCTATCTTTCATTTGTTATGAAGTCAAGATTTAGGGTCCTTTAAAAGCATATTTAGTTTTTGGTGAAGTGCTTCCACATTTGTTTACATCCGATGCCTTTAAAACACACAATTGCAATTATCATAAAGTGCTGCCGCAAGGCTCATTTGTGATTTTAGCCTGTTTTAGCTTATTTTGGAAGATCCTAGAGACTTTGAACCTGTTTGAGACACGAGACATATGAGTGGTTTAGAAGTTAAGAAAGGCTGAAAGTGTGTACATGCTTGGTTTGCTTGATGTTGCACAATGTCGAAAAAGATTGAAACTCGTTTGATTGCCATTTTTGTTTGCGGTCATGTCCTTAGCCAGCATTAAACACAATTTGTATATCTTCCATCTCGACTAAAATTACACCAAAGCAAGTGGCTCTTTTGAAGGGGAAGTCCCTTACATGTGCAATAATGATCAAGATCTTCTTGCTGTTGGGGGATACTGTTAGCTGTAGGGCTTACCTGAAGAAAAAAAAACGCTGTATAGGATCAAATGAAGTGCCGTGCTAAAAAACGGTTACTATTTTGTTTCAGCTTTGGTATAACGTTAAATTTCCATGTAAATGGAATGTTTCTGAGCAAGTACCTGAGGCACTTGTGCAAAAAGCAATATATATATATAAGCTCTTTTGAAGGGGAATTCCCTTACATGTGCAATAATGATCAGGATCTTGCTGTTGAGGGATCCTGTTAGCTGTAGGGCTTTCCTGAGGAAAAAAAACCCACAGCTGTATATGATCAAATGAAGTGTCGTGCTGAAAAAAACGGTTACTATTTTGTTTCAGGTTTGGTATCATGTTAAATTTCCATGTAAATGGAATGTTTATGAGCAATTACCTGAGGCACTTGTACAAAAAGCCATGTATAATCATTCTTTTTCATCTAAATAACCATTGAAATATATATATTGTACACTCCCTGTGGTTCTGTAGATATGAATATATTTATTTGGCTCTCCAAAGATTTGATCTATAGCAAGACACTTCTATCAGTGCTGTGCCAATAAACAATTACCTCATGTTAAAGCTTTGTGTACAGTCAGAATGAAAAGCAATTGTGCTAGTGTTGAGCTTAATGGAAAGCTAAGAGTGTTCATGTTCTGTTTCTGCATTGTGTTAAAACTGGTTTTAGTTTGAATGTAATGCTCATGTAATGTAAAATGCAAGCAAGCACATGCTTGGGAATGAAAAACATGGAACGGAATAGCTGATTCCATCATAAACTAATATTGACATCAGCACTCTTAAAAATAATTTTTTCCACTGTGATGCTGTAGAAGGACCATTTTGGGCTCATCAACCTGAAGATGGTACATATTTAACAACACTAACAGATTTTGTTATAACACACAGATTATTGTAGCTTTGTACACTTGTGACCCCTCAACACTGCACAATTAAGGATGTGCCCAAAACCTGCATAAGGCAGTATATGATGGTAGGAAGGCATAAAATTAGACGTTTGCTTCTAAGATGCCTATTTATCTAAATGGAACTGGAAAAATCCTAGGAGGAAAAAAATATTGTCAGACAACTGGGTGTGTTCCAGTTATGGAATTATGTGGCAGTTGATGGAAAAATCGTATCAGACTATCATGTGCAAACATTTTAAAATACAGTGTATTACATTTGTTTTACAATTTGGTTTAAAAGTAAATAAATAAATAAGCAAGCAAGCTGCTCTTAACACTTAAATGAATATAACAATTAAACAACCAAACAAATAAATGAATGTTTAGCTTGTCTTAAGATTGAAAGGAATACAACTAATTTGATTTTGTACTCAAAACAAACAAATAGAAAGGTTTAAATTAATACAACTCATTTGCTTTTATAATTAAAAGAAACAAACAAATAAATAACAAATGTTTTAGCTGCTCCTAAGGTTAAAAAGTACACTACTTATTTGCTTTTGTAATCAAAGCAGCAAAAGAAATAAAAGCACAACTCAGTTAAAGTTTGGGCCTGCTGTTAACCTCCTCTAATTGAATAGAAGACCACAAATGGTTAGCCATAAAGCTCTGCCATTAAATATACAAAGGAAACAAGCCAGGCCTAACAAGAACAATTACAGCAGTATTGTTTTCTTACCCAGAATCAGTAAGCCACGTTAGAGGTCAACTGTATCAGGCAGCTTAAGTGATCTGTTTACCTGTGCAGGCACTTTGGGAACTTATTTTGATTGAGTGCCAGGAAATAAAGAAGTTGAATAGGAGCTGTGTTGTGGTTATACTGCCCTTCCCTCATTGGGTTTGGTATTAATGGTCCTTTTGAATAGGGGTTGAAGAGAAGGGGAAGGAAAGCAGCTCTTTGTTTGAAAAGATAAAGCCCTTGCTACTGCTTCGCCAGAAAATGTAAATACTTTGGCAGGCATGAAACGCATACATAACTTCATAAACCAATGGAACAATTTACACAAACATTTAGAGAAAGATAGTGAGGAAGAGAAGGATCCAAAAAAAGGCTTATTTAAAGGCCACAGATTTTTATTTTAATATAACCTCAGAGTTAATCATTCATTCATTATTTATTGCTAAGTGCTCAGTTATTATCTTTATGTAATTTCAGATGACAAACAGAAGTGACTCACTGACACTATGTCACATTTCTACTGCTAAACAGGTGTTTTAATGCTGAAGATTAAAGTGCAAATGTAATTACCTTGTGAGTTTTCATACCCTTCAAGCAGTTTCCCACATTTTATCATCCGCAGCAGACAGGAAACAATTCCAAGGTTTGCCACAGATGTTCCAGAACAGTTAAACCCTGTCAACGGAATGGGAAAAAAAATGTCTGAAAAATACAGGTATGTACAGTGTACAAATGTAAGGTTCTTGAGAAAATTTCCCAGCAATGAAACTAAACTTTGCATTCAATTTTACATTACAAAAAATTTTTACTGACCCCAAACTTTTGAGTGGTTTGTGTGTGTGTGTGTGTGTGTGTGTGTGTGTTTGAAGTTTCATTGATATGCTTGGGGTCAGTAAGATTTATTTGATTTTATTTGAAAGAAATTAATACTTTTATTCAGCAAGGGTGCATTAAATTGGTCAAAAGTGACAGTAAAGACATTTATAAAGTTACAAAAGATTTCTATTTCAAATAAATGTTGTTCTTTTGACATTTCTATTCGTCAAAGAAGAAGAAAAAAGTTTTATGGATTTCATAAATAGGTTTATTATGCTATTTCCCCATGCATATTAGTAGAACTTTTGATGGTAAAAGTTGTTCAAAGATGTGCAAGCTGTGACAGCTGTTTTCTTTAGTAGATGATTTATATATTTTTTTATTGGAATTCATGGAAGTCTGACTATAATTAATACCGTTCGACTTAAACCATGTATTGTTGTAGGTCCTAATAAAGCTACCATTAAAAGTTAGCCACTAAAGCCCATTGTTACTGACATTTGGTGATTGACAAGTACATTATGTTCATTTTGGACATGCACATGTTCATACACTGTACTGAAGAGACTATGTGGTTTTAGTGAGGTTTGGGGCACTATTTGGGGGTATTCATTATATAATCAAATGAAAGACTTTTACCTTGACAACTTCAATTAATGTTAAGTGTACAGACACAGCAAATATAACAGCATGATGATGTAAATGACAGCAGAAATCATTTGCCATTTTGCCAGTATAACTTGTTAACTATTGTAAGAGAGATTAGTTGTTGACACAGTTTGGGGCCATACATTTCCACCCAACAGTGCACATTTCCAGCATATTGACTATTTGCCAGAACACAGCGGTAATCTCAGTTGACTGAAGTGCTGAGGTCTCATAAAATTTAGCTGGTTCTTTTATCAATAAAACTCTTACTTTCATTCTCTGCACACCTGAAAGGGGAACTACGGGAGCCAGTCAGTTGATATTTAAAACTTGTGTCATGAGAAGGTGAAATGAATTAACTGCTGTTGTTAACTTAGAACAATGCATGGCAAAAAGGAATAAAATGCATTAAAATGGAACAGAATTTTGATGATTTGCCTTCAGCTTGACAGACAAACAAAGTCTGTACTCAAGTTTTTCATCTTTCATGTCTTTGCCTGTTTAGCTTATCTACGCATCACTAAATGGAAGAAAGAAAGGATTATCTTTAATATGACGTGTGTTGCTTCTAGGCTTGTTTTGTAAGAAAATAAAGTTTTTTGCTAATTCTTATACACACTTACAGAATCTGGCTAAAATAAATAGTGTTGAATTGGTGTTATTTTTTTATATAGGCATGAAAAGAACATGAAAATCCATATAAAAATTTAGTTTTCTGTCGCACTTGTTTTCTTGAAGTGGCCCACCTCAAATGCAATTTCCCAGCCATCTGCAGCTTTTCTCTTGCTGTGATTATCAGATTGGTTATTGTTTGGTGCTTCTCAACACATTTTTACAGGACCAATAAACTAAAGTGCCGTTGACAGCTTCTGACCAGAAATGCAAATGTTTTCACAAAGGAGAAGGAATCCTGGATAAACTAGTGGTTAGTCCCTCTCTCTCTCTCCCGCTGTCTATCTTTTTTCATGGATGGAGATATGGAGATTATAGAATAGAGGGACTATGAGTCCTACCTGGTCTTCATTTCCAAAAAGAGAAGTAGAGTATCATTGACTGCTCCATGTTATGTTGATGTGGCACATTTAAATGGACCCATGTATATAACAGGCCGCACTGCTTAGTTGGACAGTAAAACAGTAGTCCTTCTACAATTTATCTGTCCTATTATATTATATTATATTATATTATATTATATTATATTATATTATATTATATTATATTATATTATATTATATTATATTATATTATATTATATTATATTATATTATATTATATTATATTATATTATATTATATTATATTATATTATATTATATATTATTGCATTATATATTATTACATTATATTATATTATATTTAAATTATGTATTAGTTTATATGTGGTTTATTTAATTATTTATTTATTAGAGACCACAGGCATATATTTAATAAGCAAATTCTGCATTTATAAGAAATTGATGAGAAACAAGACAGAATCCTAATACAGTCATTATTTCACAAATACTTGTACAATTTTGAATTATGCTTTTTTTCTTTTTTCTTTTTTTTACAGGGGTCTCTTGAAAATGACATCAATCAAGATTTTCAGGATGCCATTGATGTAATTCAGCGTCACTCTCAGATACGGCATTATGACACAGGTATATACCAAAATATAACATTAATAAAATGTAGTAAAACATTTTTTATATAAATATATTATGCATTATTATTATTATTATTAATTCCCCTTCTAATTGTCTCTGTCAGAAAATAAATACTACGAGAATTTGGAAAGTCAACAGTCCTCTGTGAGACATGCTATCTCATACTATCAGTTCACACCTCATTTTGAGCCTCCAGGAGCGATGTATGACTGGAATGAATCCTCAGTAGGTTTACAACTCATTTAATTTGTCACTTGAATTGTTTCAACTGTTAGATTGCAATACTTTTACTCATGTTTTGGGACTAGCAAAGCTTCTCTCTGTATCTGCAGTCATGGTCTCACATTGTGCCAGATGTGGCTCTGGGGCCATTGTGTTCTGCTGAGCCTTCAGCGTTTTACTCAAATTTACCACAGCGCCATGGAAAAGGTGCGACATTATTCGTTTTCTGTGTGTTTGAAAATGTAATAATTCAATATGTGGGAAAGTATGCGCTGATGTTAAAAGGATGTTTCTGATTTTTCTCTCTAATTCCATATAGCAATAACTGTACATATAACAGTTAAATCACTTAAGTGCAAGTTTTCAGAAATAATAACCTAATTAATAAAAGCAGACATTGACATATTCGTGCATGTCCTGAAACTGACTGTACAGCATTTTCATGGTTCAAAATGTTCAACAAAGTTGAGCTCGTCATAATACAGAAGTGCTGAATGCATTGTGTATTCCTCTTCCTCATTAGGTCGTAAGAAGTTACGCTTATATGAATATCTGCATGAGGCTCTTCACGACGACAACATGGGAGACTCCATCCAGTGGATGGACAGAGGGAGCGGCATCTTCCATTTCATCTCAAAAAATAAAGAGAAACTGGCTGAATGCTGGGGTCAACGCAAGGGCAACCGCAAGACCATGACCTACCAGAAAATGGCACGCGCTCTCCGCAACTACAGCCGCACGGGTGAGATTGTGAAAGTGCGTCGCAAGCTCACCTATCAGTTTAATCCAGCTATACTGCAGCGATTGAGCTCACTGTCAGGCTACAGCTCAGGCCCTTCATCCAGAGACATGGCCCTTCATCCACAAGGCTCTGCTGAGCACATCTACTACAGCTCTCCTCTACCAGACTGTCATTACTGGTACGGCCAATACTCTCACCAGTGCGAGTACGATCTTGCTACTGTACTGACAATGCATGAGGACCCCAAAATAGGTGTTTCAGCTCAGTGAACTGGCAAAAGAGCCAATCCCTGTCATTCCATGAATTCTGAATTTTCTGTCTTTTACAAGGGAGATTCTTTGAAATAAACCTAGACATAGTAAAAATGTACAAAACGAGTGGATGCATGTAAAAAAGGATGTTATACGGTTCAAAAGTTTAAAATCAGTAAGATTTTTTTTTTTTTTTGTTGGAAATTTATACTTTTTTCAGCAAGGATGCATTAAATTGATCAAAAGTGACAGTAAAGACATTTATAATGTTACAAAAAAATTCTATATCAAATAAATAATTATTTTTTTTTTTTAAGTATCACAGAATCCAGAAAAATCCTGTTGACATTGCAGGAATAAATTACATTTGAAAATATAATATATTTATTTGATCAAATAAATGCAATCTTGGTGAGCATAAGTGACTTCTTTTAATAATATTAAAAAATTCATTAAAAAATTGGACCCCAAACATTTGAACCGCAGTGTATATGTACAGTGGCCCCAAAAAGTATTTGGACACTCAAAATGTATTTGTAATTTGTCTTTGCATTATGTAAAAAATATCAAACCAAATATAATTTCTTATATGGCATGACAGAGAGAGCACTTTTTTTTTTAAGCAAAACATTCCACAAAAAAGTTTTTACATTTTTAAAATAAAAGAAGAAATGGTTCAGGAAATAAATCATTGAAAATATAATATATTTATTTGATCAAATAAATGCAATCTTGGTGAGCATAAGTGACTTCTTTTAATAATATTAAAAAATTCATTAAAAAATTGGACCCCAAACATTTGAACCGCAGTGTATATGTACAGTGGCCACAAAAAGTATTTGGACACTCAAAATGTATTTGTAATTTGTCTTTGCATTATGTAAAAAATATCAAACCAAATATAATTTCTTATATGGCATGACAGAGAGAGCAATGTTTTTTTAAGCAAAACATTTCACAAAAAAGTTTTTACATTTTTAAAATAAAAGAAGAAATGGTTCAGGAAATAAATCGTTTTATATTTTGTATGTAATTAAATAACATCAATACATCAGTACAAGAGTGTCTTAAAGTATCCACATACTTTCTGGGACCACTCTTTATCTACTGTTTGTCTGTCTGTCTGTATATTTATATCTACTTTTTTCAACTTGTTTACATACGATCATTTGTTTTATCGCTCAAATAAAGTTTGCCTGTCTTGAAAATCCCAATGAATTTGTTTGTTAAACTCTCCACTGTAAAACACGTGCGCTTGAAGCCGCTGTATAAACGTTTGCGCTGATTTCTTTGCAAATGCATTGGACCAAGCTTATCTAATTTCACAGAGAGAAGATTGTTTGTGACTGCTTTATGTGTCATATTTCAAACCGATCTCAAATCACCTTCCTCTTTGTAAAGATAGCAATCAAACACTAATGCAGTGCTGCTGTATAATTTTCATACAGGACAATCAACACTGGTCTCATAACAACTGTGCTCTTTCGAACTTTATGATTGAAGTTTTAAACATTGCATTTCTCTTATCTGTGTTGCTTTTCATATTTTTTATGTGGAGCCTGCATGTCATTGTTAGGTGGCTGTGGTTGTTATCTCTAAGAGTGAAGAGGATGTGGTTACTGGTTCTATAAAGGTGGACGCTAGAGATGTGTTAGACCGAGATCAGGGTGTGTATGTTTGGGCCTACAGAAACTGTGGTTTTGAGTCAAAAAATGGCTGGTTATTTATGTTCGGTCGTAGATCATTTGAGAAAGGCCTGTTCACTCCCACAGCCCCTTGCTATTGATAAAAACGAGTCTGCACCTTTTCGACGAGACAGCGTTTTGTGTGTAAAACACACTAATAGTAACAAATCATTCTTTTCTTAAATTATTGGTTATTCATTATCATACAACGACACTTGAAACAGCAATATCTACAGTGAGGATCACTCCGTAACATGGTAAGAAATTATATGTTTTATAGTTTTGTTTAGTATAGTTTTTATTTTACAGTGGCCCAATAACATATTTGGACAGTTTAAAGTGTGATTATATTAGAGCAAACCAAATACTTTTTAGTGGCCACTGTTGTGTACGAGTTAAAAATAGTTCTTTCTTCTTACCAGAACAGTCCGCAGGAACATCAGACCGATTTGGAGGTGATTCTGGAATTTCTTGAGGAGCATTACAGACAGGAATCTCGAAGAAAAGCCCTATGGAACAGTAAGAAGGAAGCTTAAAAGGATAGAATATTCTGTCATCATTTACTCATAAAAAAATATGTTTTCTACTTCCTAATGTGACATTTAATTTAATGTGTTACTTGCAGTTTCTTTGTAATTATTTGTGTAATTTACTAGCAATTTCTCTAAAATTATTCTCTGTAATTTACTAGCATTCAAAAATAATGAATGAAAAAGAGTAAATCCTACACCATTTCCCCCCCCCCAATGCACCTTCATGTCTTTTCAAAACTCTGCAATTTTATTTCTTCTTTGGAACACTAAAGAACACATTCTGAAGATTTTTTCTACTCTTTTTGTCAATACAATCAAAAGTCAACCCTTGTGAAAAAGAAGTGTGCTTGAACTGTATTGAATGTGCACTTGTAGTGTAGTGTATACTTGTTCAAATCTTAAAAGAATATATAAGTACACATATTTTGGTGTGTTGATAACATACTAAAGCACAAGTAAAGTACTTGATTGAATTTTTTACTGCAGTGTGTTATTTGATATTAATACATTATTTGCTACTATGTGACCATGCCTGTGAAAACCCAGCTAAAGTCATTTTTTGTGTTTTACTGTTTTCTACATAAAATCATCCTTCATAAAGATGTAAAGAACATTCTGTGAAAATATCCTTTATAACTTTAATATTGACTGAGTAAGGCCATGTCAAAATTGAAATCATAGTGAAATTAATGGTTGAAATCAAACTTTGATGCTTGTTATCTCATAATTAGATTTTGAGACTTTAGCCTGGATTTCACAGACAGGGTCACATATAATACATTTAATATATTTTAAATGTATTAACTTGCAACTTCCTCATTCCAAATGAGTAATTACAAATATATTTAAATACATGGCATACACGTTTCAATAGAAATGACATTAAACTATATTTTAGTTGATCATAAATGCTTGTCAGTGCATTTGACAGCACACTTTTAAGAAACCATAGAAGTAATTATGAAATTCTTATAATAAATGACCATATAAAGATGTACTTAAGTGGGTCAAAAAATCACTCTAAAGTTCAGTGCATTTAAAATGAATTGAAATTACAATACAGTTTAATGTAAATGCATTAAGTGTCTAAAAATTACTTTCAGCTCACACTTAAGTATATTCCTTTAGTATATTATTATTAAGTTGTACTTAAGTGGGTCAAAAAATCACTCTAAAGTTAAGCTAATTGCATTTAAAATTAACTGAAATTACAATACAGTTTAATGTAAATGCATTAAGTGTCTAAAAATTACTTTCAGCTCACACTTAAGTATATTCCTTTAGTATATTATTATTAATCAGTACTCAGTACTTGCTACTAACTCTTTTTGTAATGCATTGGAAGTGAGGGACCTCTCTGTCATGTCAACCAGTGAAGATGTGGACATATCTGGAGAGAAGCTACCTGCTGCAGAACATTTCAACAATGCATTAGAACAAGAAAAGTCCCAGCTGCAGCCTCCTGCACCTGTAGCTCAGCAGGTAGACCATTCAGTTCAACACTTTGTGTTATTTTTGCACCCAATCTTTTCTATTTTAAAACCAAGTTCTTCTGTCAAATGAATAGGTCATGGGATCTCTGGCCAAAGCAAATGGATCTGACTCGTATACGGACTGCAGGATAAATTGCAACAGCAATGCCATAATTGATCAGTCATCGGCCCTTCACAATGCACCCAACGGGCAAGTGTTAAATGCCCCAACCGGACCAGAGAGACCTTTAACTCTGAATACAACAGCTGAAAAGTGTGCCGAATCATTGCCCAGCATTACACCTGCAGAGAAAGGTCAGTTCTGCTTTTGTGGTTTATTTTGATGCTATCTCGAAGGTGAGGAATAACCTAGAGGAACTGCAGCACGGGAGCGGCCTGTCCTACCCATAACTGGCAAATAGAATCTCAGTTCTCCCTCATTTTCTCTGGTCTTGTACACCATTGATGTTTTAGAGATGCTTATCTTAATTATGCCTATCATAATACAAGCAAGTTTTATGGGAAATAGTTTCCATAGGCTTTTGCCCACTCCTTCGTGCACAAACGCACACACATAAACGCTGTTTGACCGCAGTCCGTCTCTATGATTGCAGGGAAAAAGCTACGTCTTTTCCACTTCCTGTTCGAGATGCTGGAGGACCCAGGCATGGCCCACTGCGTGTCCTGGGTGTCGGCTTCAGTAGGTGTCTTCCGCTTTTCTGCCAGGCACAAGGAGCGCGTGGCAGAGCTATGGGGCCAAAGGAAGGGCAACCGAATGCCCATGACCTACCAGAAAATGTCCCGTGCCCTGCGAAATTACGCCCACTCGGGGGAGATCATTAAAGTGAAAAAGAAGCTGACTTATCAGTTTAGTGTTGCTACCCTCTCTACTTTACAGAGCCAACATGGTATAAAGAAAGCAGCATGTGGATCGAAATGAGAGCTCAATGATTGTCTCCAGTGTGTTAGGGTCATTATTTGTTACTCTCATGGTATCTTAACTGGCTTGGTAACAGGAGGAGGGTAAAACTAGTTTAAATGTTTTCTTGCTCGATGAAGGTGATGAACTGTGGTGTTTTGTATAGCAGACTCTTATCGAAATGATTTACTTTTTGCTGTTCTTTGCATATCTTGATGCATTTTAAAAAGTATGTCTTTTATAGCCATGTTTATAAATAAAACAAAATGTGTACGTTTGTCATATATAGTTAACCTTTTTCATTATACATTTCTTTTCAAGTTTCTTTATCAGTTTTTCAGCTGGAACTTGAAAAGAACTAAAACAAATAAAAACTGAGTAAATATCTCCTTCCTGCACTGCTCATTTG